TGATGTCAGTCAGCAGACAGCAGAAGAACACAAATGCAAAAGCTACAGCTTCAGCTGAAAATTGCATGAAACTTCCAGGAGGAATATTTTATGCTTGCTGTGCAGACAATGGACAAATGGCCAAGGAAAGCCAGAGCGGCACAGTAGGGAACCAGGAAAATCTCCACACAGCCTCCGGATTTCAGACAAAGAGGCACAAAAGGTAATTTTTTATCTGACGAGCAGCATCTAAAAGGTATCAAGCGGGAGCTGCTTTTCACGGCTGAGAGCGCAGATGGAGTGCTGAATCAAGCTGGGATGATCATCAACAACACACCACTGCTCTTCTGCCTTTCAAACAGTCCGAGCGTAGCTTTTCACTAAGTTGGATTTTCGTTTTTCTTTCTCTCTTTTTTTGGACTGAATTAATCTCTCCTCTAGCATGCTTTTTAAAAGTTGGATTCTATGCAGAGCTTAGCCAATGTGTTTCCAGTATTTCTTTCTTTTTATCTGTTGTTGCTTTTTCACAAATTCCCGCTGTGGAGATCAATTGCATTTGTCATTTGCTCTCCTTGTTGGCTTGTCACTCCACATTTTCAGGATATCTGTAAATTGGTCTCGACTACAGACAACTGGAATCATCAAAAGCAAATCTCATCTCAGGACAATAAATGGTTCCAGCAGGAACACTCTATTGTTGCAAAAAAAAAAAAAAAAAAGAAAAAGAAAAAGAGAAAAATAAGTTTTACAACAGGCAAACAAAGCATATATATATATATATATATATATATATATATATATATATATATATATATATATATATATATATATATATATATATATGTGTGTGTGTGTGTGTGTGTGTGTGTGTGTGTGTGTGTGTGTGTGTGTGTGTGTGTGTGTGTGTGTGTGTGTGCAAGTCCGAAAGTATTCAATATAATAATTTTAACAATTTTTTTTTATTTATTTATTTTTATTTTTTTGCTCTGCAAAGATTAGTTTAGTATTATCAGATATACTGTGCAAATTTCCTTGCTCTGTTAAACATCATTTGGGAAATATAAAAAAAAAATTCAAAGTGGGGCTAATAATTCTGATTTCAACTGTATAAAAAAAAGAAAAACGTTTTGCAACAGGCAAACAAAGCATTATATATATATATATATATATATATATATATATATATATATATATATATATATATATATATATATATATATATATAAAGATAGCTATGAGCTTGGACTGAGTAATAGCTATGAGTCTGAGTAACAAACTGTTTTTCCTCCTTGCACTACAGTACAAGATAAGGACTATAAAACTTTTTCCAGCACTTTTTCTTTGTTTTTGGTTTTTGATCATATGTGACTGAATTAGGAGACCACCAGTGTTTTCTGTTGATCCAGAATAATTATGTTTATAAAAATAACTATCTTTGCTATTTAGCAGTTTTAATGGTTTATAAAACAGGAACGAGGCCAAACTGAACTAGGAACAGCGAGTGCGTGCTCTGCTAAACAGACACATGGCGCCATCTAGTGATTGAAAGTCACAGAAAAGAGCATTCAAATGTTATTTTATTTAAATTAGCTTGACGCTAAATGTTCATTTTACTATGCATAAACTAAATTTAAACCAACGTATTAAAGACTCCGAAACCGAGAGGTTGGAACCTACAATACATGCAATTGTTAATGTATATCCTGGAACAATTGATAATTATTGTATCTAACCTTTACTGATAGGGAAGGTGGACAGCAGTACAGATAAAATAAAACATGACTGGGAAAAGAAAATAGTTATTAAATTTTGAAATGGCAGATGGGATGAATGCTTGAGAAATGTACAGTCATGTTCTGTGAACGCAAGGCATCATCCGATCCAATATAAGGTCATTTATAGGCCTCATTATTCTAAATCAAAACTTCATAAAATATACCCAACAATCTCTTTAACTTGTACTAAGTGCATTGTGTCAAAAGGAAATCGATTTCATTCTTTGAGGTAGTTAACTACAATAAACTACAACCATTATAGGAAAAATATATTTAATTTCCATTCATACAATTTTTGCAGATAGATTGAACTGATATAGACTTTTACAAGAATGTTGTTCATATATTTATTTTATAATAATCTTATAATGTATATTTTGGTCTCATTGTCTTTGTACACCTTGCTTTACAGTTTTTCTCAAATGCTAAAACACACTTCAAACATTTCCTCCATGTCTAAACACAGCATCCTTCACAACATCTTAAACTACATAAACACAACCACACCTTCTCACTTTAAAACTCTCACACCAAAAGAGCAGCTCGAAGCTTTCAAAAATGTAAACACTATACACATTACAGCGAAACAATTGAAAACACAATTTTTGAGACGACCAATGCGTATTTTTAGAAACTTTACATTAACGGATCTTCTTAGATCTCTGCAGAGGATAAGGCATTTAGATTTGTGAGTTTCATAAGAAGAGTATAAATCCATAAAAAATACTGCATGTACATTACTGTAACACAACTCAATGCAAAAAAAAAAAAAAAAAAAAATCTATTGCACACAACAGTACTCCTGAAAACATAATCAGGGTGTAAAGTTTTTTTATTTGCTTTATTCACACCACACGCACACAACATCACTGTGCGGCATCATGTCGCTGAGCTGCATCGGGCCACATCACCTCATCCACATCGCAGGCTATATTGTCTCTTGGCAGGTACCGTGGGAAAAATGCCTGGAATGGTGAATCCACCCTTGGAAGGCCTCCACTAGGTTGTCAACACAGGCAGCTCCATTGCCCTTAGGAGGTTCTCTGTAGTGTATGGTTGTTTGTCATAAACCTTCCATCTCCACGATAGGAACTCCTCTATAGGGTTCAGAACGGGAGTATGATGGAGGACAAATGTTTAAAATGTGATTACTGTTGTTGGTGAACCACTCTATGATTTGGTTTATATTGTGGAAGCGGACATTGTGCCAAATTATCACAAATGTTATGTGTGGGCCCAGGATGGTGTTGTTGGCAGTCCAGGAGGATGTATCTTAGCTCCTCTAGGAAGGTAAGGAGACGTTGGGTGTTGTAAGATCCAAAGACAGCTTGCTGATGGACAAGCCCCTCTGAATTCATGGCTGCACAGAGTAATATTGACATTGTCAATGACTGTTGCTCACATCTCGTCTGTAATGATGATGCGAGGTTGTCTTGGGGAGACCTTCTCCTCTCACTTGCTGGCTTCTTCCTCTAACTCGTAGACCTGCTCCTCTTCTTCCATGGCCTCTTCTCCCTCCTTGGACTCAAATTGCTCTTCCCCTGAACTTACTTTTATGCATGTTGTCACAGTATTAGCAACAAATGTCTTCAATTTGGGGGCATTGTGTAATGAATGATGCCAGGTGTTCACTGTGTTCAAATATTGCTGACTGTGGCAAGCATTTTGCATCACATGAGCTTTCTTTTGAGAATATGAGCAGTTCTTTTGCAACTTGTGTTTTAGCAAGAAAAGTGTGTTTAGATTTATGAGAACGGAGGACTGTGTTTTGTGAATTGTGTCTTATGTGAAATGTGTTTGATATTGGAAAATGATGGCTAGTTTTAATAAATGTGTTTAGACAACTAGTCATTTGGTTTAGAGGATTGGCTTTTATGTTTTAGCATTTTAGAAAAACTGTAATCTTTCGATTTTGTCCCAGTCAATTTCATATTATGATTGTAAATGTTATTCATGTATAAAATGCCTTCTATTTTATATGAACCTTCCACATACATTTTGATCAATGATAGATGGTGGGGTGGGAGGTAAGGCTTTGAGTTCCTTTTGTAGTAAGCTAAATTTAAATTCACTAAATTCACAATACATTAAATTAACTTTGATGTATTGTCCATTTTATTCTTGCACAGATATAGGCGGAACTGTATTTATGTAGGTTATTTTCAATGAAAATGAAGAAAAAATCTATATTTAAACTTGCTTAATAAAATCTAAGCTAGCCAATAAGTGTCAACTTGTAGTTATTTACTAAATTGCGATTTATTTTCTGACATTTAAAAACTAAATGTAGGCCTACATACATGCCATGTATTTTAAAATGTTGCAAAAATAGCTATTTGCATGTTTTCTTTTCAACCATTAGAATTACAGTGGTGACGCAGTGGTGCAGTAGGTAGTGCTGTCACCTCACAGCAAGAAGGTCGCTGGTTTGAACCTCGGCTCAGTTGGCGTCTCTGTGTCTAGTTTGCATGTTCTCCCTGAGTTCACGTGGTTTTCCTCCAGGTGCTCCGGTTTCCCCTACAGTCCAAAGACATGCAGTACATGTGAATTGGGTAGTCTAAATTGTCCGTAGTGTATAAGTGTGTGAGAGTGTGTGTGTGGATGTTTCCCAGAGATGGGTTGTGGCTAGAAGGGCATTCGCTGCGTAAAAATGTGCTGGATAAGTTGGCGGTTCATTCCGCTGTGGCGACCCCGGATTAATAAAGGGACTAAGCCAACAAAAAAAAAATGAATGAATGAATCAGAATTACAAATATATATGTTTGAATAAATTAGCTATAATTTGTATGAAAAAATATATATGGCCATATATACACGTGCATACACACACATGCATTAAAAATAGATATAGAGGTTGAATAGTATTCATATAAATACCTCTTTAGCAACTAGCTATGGTCTATTGGCAATTTAAGCTCTTTTGCATACAGAACCAAATGAACACGGTATGTATATAATCATGGGCCAATCAATAAACTGTGTATCAAAAATGATCAAATCTAGAATACGAAAATAAATAAATAAATAAACTAAAGCCCGGTCTAGAAATCTCTCAGACAAATTGAGACTAAGTAAAAAAAGTCAGTAAAAAGAAAAACACTATTTAAATTAAGTATACCTTCAATTATATAGCTAATTAAACTTGATGTTCTAATTGATCATTAATTGTGATTTGGAGAGTTTTCTAAATTGTTTATATCTAAAATGCTTTACATAAATGGCAATGCAAAAAAAAACTTCAAGCAGTGAAAATAGCGAAAAGAATTTAATTACAAAAAGCCAAAAACACATCCAGTCAAAAGGGATGAAAGGCACACTTTAGGAATCACTTGAATTATGTACATTAAATATTGATACAGTGATGCTTCATGCATTTCAATTTGACACTATTAATAGGCCAGTAAATGTATTTAAAGAAACCATCATAAATGCCCTCAATCACCCTTAATTTATCAAGTTGCAAAATTGAAACTGATGTTGTTTGATCCATGTATGCAGATTGCTTGCTGTACAGCACATTCATTTGTCACCCTTACAACACACATGAGAAAAATGCATGCAGCTTTCTTATGAATCCAATTGGAACAATACTTTTAAATGTATACTAAGCGTTTATGCTTGGAATATAAAAACGTGGGAATGCTTAATCTCGAAAGACAAAAACCCTCATAATTATCAAATCTTCAGTATCAAACCAACTGTGAAATGGTCAGGAGTGTCGCCAAGTCAAAAATATCATGACTGGCTGTTTTGGTGCTTTAGTGTCTAAACCCTAAAACTCAAAGTGCTTCTCTTAAATAGGCTGGTATTTGGCAAATTTATACACAAAAAATGCATTCATTGGTCACGCTTACTCCAGAAATCCTAATAAAATTAATACCCAATGTAGTTCTGGTACAGTGAAAGAAAGAAAGCAAGAAAGAACAAAAAGAGAGAAAAAAATGTGTTTTTAAAAAGCAAAATGTCTATCATAATATGAAGGTATACCTAAAACAATAAAAAATTAACACACACTAAACAATAATAGTCTTATGAATTAGCAAACAACTTTTAGGGTTTTCAGTGTTTTTGAATGAGAAATGAGGGGCATTTTTTAACAATATTGATTATTACACATCAACTCAGTCAAGAGTTCAAACCCCTTAAATAAATGATGCATAAGTAACTTTGGCACAAAACACAGTTTTGATCCTCTGCTGACCGTATTGTCTTATAACCCACATCAGAACAATGTATGACCTTCTGAAAAACTTTTAAAGAAGATTGTTTTGGTCATGTCAGTTTAAAATGTATTGGACTAATTTAAACCCACATGTTCCATTTAAGTCTTGGAAAAAAGGCATCCAAGAATCCGGACTAGGTCCTCTCACGGTCGTTGAAATCAGCAACAATTCAGCAACCATTTTGGTGGAGATAACAGGATTGTCTCACATTTGGGATCACATTTCCCTGCAGTGTCAAACACATCCAGAGATTCATCTATTAAAAAAAAGACAAAAAAGGTTAGACAACAAGCTGCCTGAAGTATTGATTTCCAGCATTATAGCCCAAAGTCTAAAGTTGAGCAGTTTCTGCTATATTTGAAATATATGGAAGAACAATCTAGAATGTAAAACCTTCTCAAAGATTTGGCTTCGTAGACAGTAGTGTCATCCTCATCACTTTCAAGATGGGCCATCTCCATGGTGTCATCATAGTTTGAAAGGAGCCCGTACTTCTTCTGAACACCGGTTTTCTTCAGACTGGAATAAGAGAACATTAGAGATTTTAAAAGGAAAAGTTTAAAATGAATAAAAATGATTCCATTTCAAAACTATATGGCAGTCAAAAGAAAATGTAGCATAAAAGCAGCCTGTATGATTGTTGTTGTTGTTGTTGTTAACATTAAGCTGTGTGTAATTTAGCAAAGAAAAAGTTACACACCTGTCAGGAAAATAATATTAATGTTCAAAGTTGTACGGCTGGTCATAAAGCACACAAACCAGTGTGATGGGGTAAAATTCGTTTTATATTCGCACCTTATGGTTTTTTCCTTAATATGAATTCTGAAAAGTGTTGTTTGCACATTCTTGACAGGGAAAATCACATTAGCAGCCGATCAAATAGTGCTAATGTTGTTTGAAGTCATACTTGGATGCTATTTCAGACCTAAATTTAAAAGTAACGTTAGCGTGGTAAACAATGTCACAAGTTGTCACTGTTCAAATATGAACGAATATAAAACCAACTTTACCTCAGTGTTGACAACCTGCTATTCATCTGTCTAAACACAGTTTAATTGCCAACATTTATAACTTACATTTGTCAGGAACTCGCCTTTATCTGTTAGCAATGCTAGAAACTTTACATCTGAAGTTTAATGTTGTTCAAACTAAACTATTTACATAATTTATTGCTCAAAGACAAAAAAAGCGTAACAGTGCAATAGCTTCCCATCATAAAAAGAAACGTTTCTATTCGTCTAGAACTTAACATATGTATGATATACTAAACATATGGAGAGTTTAAACAACACGTCATTAGACATGAACCAAGATTTCCAAATCACTTACCGGACGGCTCTCACTAAGAAATACAGGACTCCAATTGCCGTTATCCCGATCAAAACATACAGAGCCCTATTAATCATCGCCACATCACTAGCGTTATTGGAATTATACTTTTCGGTACTGTTGCTAATAGTGGAAGTGGGTGGTTTAGTACTGCCAGATTTATGTTCATTGTCATCAGCAAAAGAAACAGCCCAAAAAGTCAACAGCAGAGGTATAAACCTTAAAAGTGTCATAATAGCTTAGGTTTGTGTTTTTAAAGGAAAGCGACGAGCCACAAACACATACGAAGTTCGATTTCGCCACCAGTCCAGTTCCTCTTCCTGATTATTAAAGACGACAGCGTGCATAGTGTTACGGTAAATTGTGTCCTAAGGGGAATCAACTACGATATAAAGTTCCCTTTTGATACCATCAACACATTTCAGACTACAAATTATTAATATTAACAATAACAATTTTAGACCATAAATTATTATTAATATTTTTTTTATTATGGTGTCGGGAGTTTAGTGTTAGGTGTTTGGTTTATCGTGTTTAGGTGTATGGTGTTAGTATTTGAATCATACTCAATGAAACTTTTAAATCGATTTTTTATACCATAAGTTTTCACTACATCACAATGATTTACTTATTTGAACTGTACATACCAACTGCACATGGACATTTGTAATTATGTACACACCCACTGCACATAAACATTTGTAATCATATTTATTTATCTGCACACTACTGATTATTAATAACAACTTGTACCTACATTCATATATTGTAAATCTGTTCATAGCTAATCCAACCTGTATATAATGTTGATAGTTCATCCATCTGTAAATATGACCATAGTTTTTCTATAACTGCACCTTATAACTTATACCTTTATCCTGCACTTGCTGCTATTGCACTGCTGGTTAGACCAAAACTGCTTTTCATTGCATTGTAACGTTACTTGTACATGTGTAATGACAATAAAGTTGAATCTAATCTAATCTAACTGAAAACTGATTTAAGCTCTGGCGCACATGCATTAGTTTATTCATTAACCATAAAGTCAAGCAGGCCTACAAATCATTAAGGCATATTCAATAATAAATTCACTTAGTGTTAGTGTTGATATAAAAGTACTAGGAACATAAACAAATATAAAAAATATGAATAAGAATTGTTTTTTTTTTTTTATTTAAATCCAAAAATATTTTATAACTTCACAGGGAAAAAAATATGTTCTATAGTTATGTGTTAATGTAATTTCCATAATATTTGTTATTTATTGACCCATAAATGGCCGTCAAGCAAGCACGGAGATCAGTAAACAAGTATTTATTGAGGGCAAAGAAAAATACAGCTAGGAATGTCACAAGAACAAGATAGGTATGGAGAGAAAACAAAAAAGTGTAATGTTAATCCTGATTTAAACCGTTTTATAATGAAATTATTTCTTTCTCTTTTCTGCATGATGATGGTCCATAACTGTATCAAAATATACGCTTTTGTGGATATAAAACCCCATAACTTTTAACATTGTAATACAAAAATAGTATTTACACCTCATGTCAACTATATGAAAAAGCACTTTATAATCTAAGGCAAATGTCAGAAACTGAGGGTTTATAATGTTGTGCAAGAATGCATAATCAGGTTTTATCTAGCACTATAATGAATCAACGTTTTCAAAACATGATGAAGCAACTTGCTATCTACATCCAACAAGCATTTCGATTTCTCTAGAGCGCCACCTCTTTTTTATATATTGGTCCCAAAATAAAACGCATAGCAAAAAGAAACAAACTATTTTCACAGAACCTAACCCACAGCTAAAATAGTTAACAATTAATATTGTCTGGAATATAACATAAACAAATTAAATTTGTTTTTATGCATGTTCTGAGGTTTACCAAATTTAGTCCATCATAAAACATCTTTTCAAAGACAATGCAAACTTAACATATCAAGAAAATAAACCAATACATGATTTTCAAAAGGCACTTGTGAGATTTCAAATACAAATATCAGGAAAATAAAGGCTCAGACCCATATTACAGATCTCACTGAAGGCCATTGTGGACAATAAATGCTCAACCCCAATTTAAAGATGTCATTTGTTCCCAAAATGTTAAGACTCATATGCTAAGAACAAACAAGTGTGCAGATTATCAGTAATATGTGGTGCTTCTCCAAAATCAGTTGAATTTTTTTTCTATCGCACACACATTCTCTAAAGAGAAGCCAACATCTGTTCATTAGTTGAGGACAAGCTTGTAAATGTCATGAGTCTAAAAGGTGTCTGGATATCCCTTACGAATGTACTGGAGGAAAGGCTTTGGTATCAAGCTGTAGTGTACACACAAACGTACATGAATACATAGGGCATTAAAGTAGTATAGCTTAAATAATCCACTATATCACAATAACACAAAGCCCAATGCTAAACATCAACACAAAATACAGGACAAACGGAAAATAGATATGGTCCATTGACCACAGCCAACATGCAATGGCCCACAATATAAAAACAATACAAATCTACACAACACTATTGGATTTAACACAAATGATTGCATAATTTTGAAGCAGAAAAAAATGCCTGTAAACTTTCTAAGTGTCAAGATACAGTATAAATGCTAAGCTTGAGGATATGCTGAGTGCAACCCTAATTGAAAATACATAGCACAGAGGCGGAGAATTTAAGGCCTGTACCATCAGCCTGATGAAATTACCCATGTCTCATACGAGTATGAATGTTCAGCCCTGAGGGCACAAAACAGACAGTAAACTACAGATTTGCACACATCAGTTGCAGATGTTGGACTGAGGTTCTGAAGATCTGAAACAATAAGGCACACATGGTACAAATATAATCTAAGGCCTTTAGTGGTTTTTCTCCGCTCCTACAGAGATTATTTTTACAAGCCTCAAACAGGCTTAAATTAATAGATGGAGTGAAAATGTAACTTCTCAGGCCAAAGCAATAACACAAGTGATTTAAAATGTAAAACAATATGTAAAAATCAACTAAAATGCCTCTTAAATAAAACAATGGAATGATGGAAGTGAGCTTTGTGATTAAGACTTGTTAGGGTTTAAAATGACTGGCCACTCCAGCCCCTTCTAGACCACATTTGTCTCAAATAGTGGACTTGGAAAAGGAAACCCTAAGATGGTGGTTTTCTCCAAGATCGTGGTTGTGGAACTGGATGAGAGACTCGATTGCTTCCTCCACTGAACTCATTTGAATCAGAGCCATCTTGCGATCTTTTCTGAAAGTTGATGAATTTATGTTAGTAAAGCATACTTCTGTTTGTGATTAACATTATGCATTCAGTTGCAGTCAAATACAGCCTTTTACCAAATTGTATATAAAAAAAATGAAAACATTTACAAATTAGAACAGTTATTTAAGATTATTTTTACAAATCACAAAAAGGCAGAAGCAGCCCAAGAAGTCTAAAAAAATCTCTTAGATGACAAAAATAATTCATGGATGCAAACTTATCAGGGAAGAAAAATTTGACAGAGAACCCAGTCCCTGCTATACAGCCAAGTCGTATCATTCAAATCGTTCAATTCAATTCAGGTTTATTTCTACAGCGCTTTTACAATGTAGATTGTGTCAAAGCAGCATCACATACAAGTTCTACTAGATTGAAACTGTCAGTCCAGCTTTCAGAGTTTAACTTCAGCTCAATTCAGGTTGGTTTAAATTTCACTGCTAAAAGTCCAAACACTGAAGAGCAAATCCATCGACGTGCAACTCTTGGCATTGCATTTCAGGTTGACAAATATAAGAATCAAACACTGCCTTGAAGGGCTCATAAAATACAAAAAGTCAGCACAAGCGGAGTAATCTTTAAAGCAAACAAAACCAACACACCTTTATTTGTAGGTTGTATTGAGGCAACTGATGCAAATACTCAATGCACACAGTTCTGCTACATGTAATATTCTTATTTAAATATTAGTAGAGTATGATGCTTAATCTGCACATTTCAACTAAACTTTGCCTGAATAACCTAATCTTAAGTGCAGAAAAAAAGACCAACTTCATGCTGGCAAGATAAAAAGACCTATTTTGAATCCACAATTTCACAGAAAGGTGACAAAAGTTTACATCCATGAATAATTTTATTCCTCACCACTGGCCTGCATGGTTTGGGACTTGTGGAGCTGCGCATCGATGGGTTTGCTCTTCAGTCTTTAGACTTTCAGCCGTGAAATCGAAACTAAACTGAACTAAACTAAACTTCAACTCTGAAAACTTGACTGACACGGTCTCAATTTACTAAACTGCTGCTTTGACACAACCTACGTTGTAATGCACTAAAGAAATAAAGATGATTTGAATTAAATAATAAAATAACATAATAATGTGATCATTTAGAAATATTAAGTCACACTTTACAATAAGGCTCAAGCAGCCAATGCATAAACAAACAATAAATGACCATTTCCATTAACCAACACAAACAATGCTAATACAGGGTTTCTGCAGGTTTTACCAAGATAAATTTAAGACTTAACACATTAAGACCATCATGAAGAACATTTTAGACTTATAAAGGGCTAAATGCAAGGAATTTAAAAATATATATCTCAGAATAGATTTTCACTCAACTAAATAATAATAATAATAAAGCAAATGTTACTCTAAGGAAAGTAATTAAATGCTATTTTAAATAAAAGTAAACAGTTTTATTGAGATGGATTATTGGGTGTTATTTGCCAGATTGGGTAGCTATATGTGAGAAAAGGAAAATTAAGTTAAAAAAAAACATTTAAGACCTAGAATACAATATTTCAGTAAATTTAGTCCTTTTAAGACCTAAAATATAGATTTTAAGACCTTAAAATCCATGGATACCCTGTAATAAATGCTGTAAAATTGTAGCTTTCACTGTTTGTACATGTAGGTAAATACACTAAATAATGAAACCTTATTTCATTCATAAAGTTTTACCAAAAATAAATTAAACATGAATGGTCTGAAATGTTAGAAGCAAATTGTATTTAGGCAAAAAAAAAAAAAAAAGTAAAGTATGCAATTCCAATACCAGTTAAAATATTTTTCACATATTCCCAGATAGACAATAGTATGTGTTTTAAAAGCACAGACTTACTGAAAGAACTTAAAGTTCTTGACCAGAGCACCACTGCTACCAAAGAGCAGCTTAAGGTCATCCTCAACAACAGAGGGTCTAAAACATAAAAAAAAAAATTTTAAATTAAAGATGACACGGGATTTAAAAAGAGTATTATTTTTAAATACATCTTATGTGTATAAACTCACGGGATATTAGACAGGTGCAGAGTAGATGAAGGAGGAAAGATGTTGGAGTAGTTTTTGGAGCCTGGTTTCTTGAAGCGATGGAGTGGAGAGT